TAGCCCTGTGACTTCTAGATCCAGGACTGAAAGCTTCAGCCTGGATTATTTACTAAAATCCAGGGGAATATTCATGTACATGAAGGAGGCAACTCGGAGTTCACACAGTGTGTCCAGTCCAAACCAGGATCTTCCTCGCTGGTGAACCCTTGGGTCAAAGTCATATTTCAGTCCGTGGACTCTTCCACCTAGGAAATAAGTTCCGGTGGCTCCCAAACCTGCCTGCACCTCAGGATTATCTGGGAGAACTATAAAATAAAGATTTTTCAGATTCACACAAGACCTAGAGACATAGAAAGTCCAAAGGGCAGACCTGGGGTTCTGTTTTGTAATTCTGCCATCCTAGAAACCCACTGGTTTTAACTCACTTCTTAATGCTATCATGCAATGTAGAGAAGAGATGCCTGTATTTAGTATCCAGAGGGAAAGTGAAGTTAGGCCTGCAGTCCCCAAAGTCCCCCAAAGTCCTGGCATGGCAGGAAGGTCCTGGCAGTGTCCTCCCGAGACCTGTTAAGTCTGTGGTCTCACTCACTCTGGCTATATATCAAACTTCCATACAACCCTGGGCAAGCGTTTTCTGAGCTCCATTTACTAATTCCTTGGTGAAGCAGACCCTAACCTGTCAGGGTCAAGGCCTCCTCCAGCAGAAAAGAATCTCCGAATGTGGACAATCTCTCTCATCTCCCTCCCACATCACCACTCAACCACCATGCAAGGGGCCAGTTTGCTCAGAAAAAACAAAAAAGGGGAAAGGAAAAGAGAGAAAGAAGGTTGTTCAGGCCCAGGCAGCCGGTGCCTCCACTCAGCGGGAGTCAGTTCTTACCTGCGTCTGGAAGAAGAGTAGTTCGGCACCGGGAACCCTGTCTGCTAGTGAGCGCTAGTCTTGAAACTCTCTGGACTTTGAACAAAGATTGATTTAAAAGCTGATGTATTTAACAGGGATGTGTGGTCTGAGTTCAAGTGACCTCTGTCCTGTTTCCTGCCCGCCGGCTGGGCCCTGAACTGGAAAATCTGAAAGCCCTCCACAAGCTCGCGGTCCTCTCGGTCTGGCCCACCTGCCCGACTCTGCGGGATGCTGCTTACTGTCTGCTGCTTGCAGGAAAGGAGGCGGGCAGAGAAGAGGAGGGGAAGGAGGGCCTGGGAGGAGGCCTCTGCCTCCCTCCTTCTCAGCTCCCAGTGCCTTGGTCACGCCCCTCAGAGCCCCAGGCTATTGGGAGCCTCTATGTTCCCCACCCCAGGATGTGCCCTGGATCATCCCCAAGGCATCCTCACACTGAGGCCTTCCTGGGAGTTGTAACCCTGCAACCCCACCCAGCAGAAAGCCAGTGGTTAATAAACCCCACTAATGAGGCAAGACCTCAGTTTCCCTCTCCTTCCTCCCCTCTGTCCTGGGAGTTCTTACTGCCTGCTCCCTTGGGATTCTGCCAGTGAAGCCTCGCCCAGGTTCTCTTATTCACTCTCCAGTCTCTGTCCCCCTTACCTGAGGGTACTGCTTCTAACCTCCTACCTCCCCATCACACACTCAGAGCCTCTGGAGCAAGCCCTGCAGGGTAGGTAGGTGGAAGGCATTTGCACAAGCTCCTGGTGGCCCAGCAACTGGAGGGCTGGAGCAGCCCCCAGCCCCAGCCGGGATGGTAGCTGATCGCTATCAGCAGCCTAGACAGACTGTTCTAGCACTGGGCTTCTCACTGACCTGGATCCTCATCCCACACTGTGAATCAGGGCAAGAGATCGCTCTGGGCAGTGCGAAATGAACCACAGGCCAAACCGGGTGGCCGTGCCCTCCCCTACCCACACTGGGCAGGCTACCTGTCTTCTCAGGGCCTTGGCTTTGGACAAAGGCATGGCCTGAGCCAGTGGGTGAATGGATTAAAGTGACAAAGAGCTGAGCAACTTTCTCACAGAAGGTTATCTCCTACCTTAAGGCTAAGCCCTCTTGGGCCCCTGGATGGCTTCCAAAGCAGAAGGCTGCGTGGGGAAACCTGGAGCTGAGAGCAGAGCACCTGAGTTCCAGCCCTGTGGCAAGCGCGTCCTAGGAGTTTGCTCTCTGAGTCTCACCTACCTGTGTCATCTGTAAATAGTTGTCATCATATTGTTTTTGGAAATTTTCCTTTTTTTGGGACCAGCAGTTGGTATAATGGCTATGTCACTGGACTCCCATGTAGTCAATTGCAGGCGGTTCAAGTCCTGGACCCAGTGGCTTAAACTCACACCAGGAGCAAATACGTGCATGCCCGAGATCTCAAGAGGAGAATGGTGGAGAAAGGATTGAGGCGTGGCCATCCACCGTGGGAGGAAGATTTCTCGCTTTCTGTCTCTGTCTCTCTCTGTCTTTCTAGCGAGTGCACACGCCCTATAGCAAAAACCTTTCCAAAAAAAAAAAAAAAGAAAGAAATTTTCCTTTTTTTAAGAGAGAAAGAGAGATTTTTACTATAGGATACATGTGCTTACTGGAGACAGAAAGTGAGAAATCATCCCCCAGGAAGACGGCCATCAACCCCTTCTCCTCCATTCCCCTCTCAGGATTTTGTCCATGCATGCGTGCGCACATGCGCACACACATTTGTCCATGCATGCGTGCGCACATGCGCCCACACACACACACACACACATACACACACACACACACACACACACACACACGGCATGAGTTTTAAGCTATGGAGTCTGGGACTCAAAACTGTGGTCGACCATGTGGGAGTTCAGCAAGATAACCATTATGCATCTGCTGCTCCCCCTGAAAAAGTGTTTTTTTAAAGAGTCAAAATACCCCTCATCCTGACCCTCACCTTGCTACACCAGTAAAATCTTTTTTTTCCTAAGGTTTTTGTCATTGGGCACATGCACTTGCCAGAGACGACAAGAGAAACACAAAAAGAAACTAAGAAACCATCCCCCAACAGGGATGACCACACTGTAATCCTTTCTCCTCCATTCTCCTCTCTGGATTTTTTTTTTTTTTAAACGTTTATTCTCCTCCATTCTCCTCTCTGGATTTTTTTTTTTTTTTAGACGTTTATGCTATAGAGCGCGTGCGCTCGCCAGACAGAGAAACATGGGCACGCATGCACATGCACCCGGCGTGAGTTTTAAACCACCGGGTCCAGGACGCAAACCGCAGTCAACTACGTGGGAGTCCAGCGACATAGCCATTACGCTAACTGCTGGTCCCTCTCCTCTCTGGATTTTGGGCACACACACACCCTTGCGTGATTTTCAAGCTGCCTTGTCCAGGACTCAGCTGTATGGTCAACTTTAACCGTCATGCAACCTGCTGGCTTTTAAAGTCTGCTCTTTCTTTCTCTTTCTTTCTTTCTTTCTTTCTTTCTTTCTTTCTTTCTTTCTTTCTTTCTTTCTTTTGTAAAGGATTACTTTACTTAACTTTATTTATTTATTTATTTATTTATTTTTGACCAGAGAGGGACAGAACAAGAGAGAGAGAGAGAGAAATGGAAAGTGAGAAAGGAAGCCAACAGGTCCGGGACTTGAACCATGGTCAACCATGAGGAAGTCCAGTGCCCTTAACTACCACACCATCTGCCGACTCCAAAGTCTGTTCTTTATTCTATATAGCAGCACTTCAAATTTTTGAAGCTGATATATCCCCTTAAGCTTTCTTCTCTCTGGGGTTCAGTAAATGCTCCTCATTCCATTAAGGTGGTCTGGCTAAGCAATGACTTTAAGATTCCTCACTCTGCACCCCCGCTGATTTGTAAATATCCCTCCTAAAATCAGTTCTTTCTTTTTTAAGAATTATTTTGTTATTATTTTTTAATTTGACCAGAGAGAGAGAGAGAAAAGGAAAGTGAGAAAGCAAGTTACCAGGTCTGGGACTTGAACCACATTCAGCCATGTGGGAGCCCAGCGCCCCCACCACCCCGCCATCTACCACTCCCTAAAATGAGTTTTAAAGGGGAAATTTTTTTTGTTTTTTTAGTTTTTTTTCCATAGGGCACATGTGCTCGCCAGAGAGAGACAATATGCGGGTGACTACAAAACTGTCTACAATCACCAAACTTCATCAACTATACACCTAAAATAGATTAATTGTATTGCATGTAATAACACCTTAATTTTTGAAGAAAGGGATCAGTGAAATTCATTCTTAAAACGTCTAAAATAAAAAAAGTTGGATGAGGCTAGCAAGTGGCCTAGTGGCTCAGGTGCTGAATCTCACCTGGCTGACCAGTGCAGACCCTTGAAACTCGTGCTAGGCCCATGTGTGGGCACGCCTACAATCTCCAGAGGAGAGTAGAGGTAAAGAAGTTTGCCTCATGGCCATCCCCTCTAAGGGGTGATTTCTCACTTTGCCTTTCTCTGTCTCTCTCCAGCCAGTGCATGTGTCCTGCAGCAAAAACCTTAAAAAAATAAAGAAAAGTTGAATGACTGGAAAAAAAGGTAACTCTCAAGTGGAATTTAAACTCAGCCCCCAGTCATGAGACTTCTTGGACCTACCTTCCAATACTGCACAGATGGAACAAATCGGCTACAGGCCTTCACAATAGAAAAAAGAGGCCTCAAAACTGAAGTTGAGCAGGGACCCTCCCCAGGACACCCCCCTCAGGATCCCCTTCTGTTGAGGAAAAAAATTAAAACTTCCCAAACTGAAAATTAATAAAGGCTGAACTAAAAATGAAATGTCTTTCTAAAGGCTTGGAATGCAAAGTTCATTTACATTTTAATGGCCCAAAGTAAGAGGTGAGACTTTAGACTTTGGTTATGGTAATTAAGTAGCACTGGCCATGAAAGAGGGTCATAAGATTTCTTTTTTTCTTTATTTTTTAAGAGTTTGTTTCCTTTTGTTTTGTTTTTATAGGGCATATGGCCTCCCCAGAGAAACAGAACCTGAGAATCATCCCCCAGGGGGGCTGGCCACATAGGAGTCCAGTGATATAACCATCACACCATCTGCTGGTCCCTTCAAGGGATAAATCTTAAGACTTTTTTAAGTTGAAAGGGCCAGTAGGTGCCATGATGGTTAAGGTGCTCGACTCCCACATGGCCAACTGAAGTTCAAGTCCCAAACCTAGCAGCTTGCTCCTCACTTGCCCTCTCTCCCCTCTCTGTCTTTCTCTGGTCAAATTAAAAAAAATAATAATAAGTTTTAAATAAATAATTCTTAAAAGAACAAAAAAAGAATGTAAGTCAAAAGAACAGCTCCATGGCCTAGTTTAAAGTAGACAGATCCCCCATAGCCAACTGTATCATTTGAATCCTGGTCCCAATGTTACCAAACTCAAACCAGGTTCACTCACCCAAGTGCTACAAAACCAAACCATAGGCACATGGTGTGATGAAGGAAAGTACAGCTTTGTTGCAAAGTGCAAAGCAAGGAGAGCGGGCAGCTCATGCTGAAAAGACCCTGTCTCCCCGAGATGGCCCCCACATGTGTTCCTAAGGGCAAAATTAGGGGCAGAGTTCCCAGACTGATGATCAGTTCAGTGATTGGTTCAAGAGGGCATGGTCATCTCGAGGGCATTCTTGATTGGTGAGGCCTTAGATAATCAAACTTCTCTTCAGGTGTCTGGAGCCATTCTGCCTGGGGTCTTTGAGCTCACAGCTGGCAGTTTGCAGCCCACAAAACATCTTACATATTGAAATGAAAACCTCGTCTTTCCTTTAAGTGAGAGTTTTAGAGGTCAAATGGCCCTTATTTATGGTCAATGTTGTTTTATTATCATAACCACAGTTTGAAGACTTACTCCTTACTCTGTACCATTACAATGTAAATAGACTTTATATTTCAAGAACTTGAGAAAATACAATAGGGGGTCCTTGCTCAGTTTCACCAACAGCTTGAAAAACACACTGGGTTGGTGTGCGTGTGCTCAAAATCCCAACAGGATGGAGAAATGGGGGAGAAGAGAATGTGTATGTGAACATGCCCCATTATAGAATCTTTCCCTCTCTGTCTGGTGTGCATGTACCTTCTGGCGAAACAAAATGATTGAAAAAAAAAAATTTAAGTTGGTTTAGAAATCTTATGGCCCTTGGGGACAGCAGGTGTTGTGGTGGTTAAGGCACTGGACTCCCA